TAATCTAAGACAAGCAAAACCAACTTTAACCTACACCTTAGGATTATTTCACTATGAGAAGAAGTTGCTTAGATTACATATTTTACTAGTTATTATTAATACATCCAAAGAAATATTTTTAGTGATGCAAACACATACAATCAGTTGTTCGAGTACGTTAAAGCAGAAGTGCTCAAAAACGATTGCATCGAGGAAGTGGTCAAGTCTGATGCTCACGGCGACTTGGTTGTGTTTTCTCTAAATCCAATGGTCCAACAAGGTATCAAAAACGGAAAAGAGTAAGTTTCCTATATTGATGTATAGATATATGAAATCAGGGCCATAGATTTTTGTCGTTTTATTTGACTCATTTAAGTCAACTGCGTGCCAGAATCAGGAATAACCAATTTGATCTTTGGGCAGTAGAAACTCTGACGATAAAGTTTCTCCAGCTAATCTGAGCAATGAACAAGTAGTCACCCAACATCGAAGGCAAAAGCTTTGATCGAAAGAGCGGGGAGAGTAAACCGAAAGCGGTGGAAACCCTGAACCAAACAAATGCCAGATGTTGCGAACTACTCAATGAGGCGTACATACCTAGAGTTCCTTCGCATTGATGGTAGCAAGCACTTGGGTTACCGTGCTACGCTGACTGCCACGGAGCAAAGCGTTTTCCCTTATAGCATTTGGCTTCTACCTATTTTGCAAAATGGTAAGGTGACGAATTGAGCTCTGTAACACAGCTATAACACAGATGTTTCAACTTTGGTGATTCAATATCTGCGATTTGCCATTTTGACACGGTGTTTGCATTTTTGGGCATACCAATGCTGCGTAACGAAGTTTTAGGTGGAACCACTAGAGTAATCTTGGAGAAGGCTCGTACTTCAGCCTAAGCCTTTGCGAAAACATTTCTTTTATTGTTCGTAATCGTCAAAAGTTTACTAATGCGTCGTGGCCCCTTCAGCATCTGTGACTTACATCGTCGTCCTCTCGCCCTTCTTCATCCCAACTACCCTCTGCTTCCATTTTTGGGCAATTTTCTCAAGAATCTCACTCCAATCAAAAAATGATATCATCCAATACTTCAATTTATTGCGAAAATGTAATGTGAGATTACCAAAAGACAGCAAATTCGAACTCTACTATTGTTTGCTTTTAGTCGAGGCCAAAGAATTAGCAAGCAACCTCATTTTTATCCCGCCCATAGGAAAAAGATTTTGTAATAGAATTAAGGATTGGTTCGATTTCAATTTTGGTCCTTTAAACAGTTTACATTCCGAAAGGCAATCCAAGTCTGATGTAGACCATTTGCAAAACTTCAACCTTTACTAACCTCTTGTTTCACACAATTTCATCGCTTTGATCATCCAGCCAAAAGGTATAGTCTTCAATAACAATGTGTTCTCAAAGCTGACCTAACCATTATCTTTACACAACCATTGAAAGTTGGCCCAATGATATAGATAAAATTTTTTCAAAATTCTCAAGAATAACGCAAACGTATAACGTTCAACTTATTGTTGAATTGAATGGAACAGCGTTTCAGTAAATTTCAGAAAATTTCAGGGTTTTATTTTGAAAAACGTACGTTCAAAAAGCTGTTTTCAGTTTACTGTTTACTTCATTCTTAGCCCAAAAATTTAAGCAGACATTTCTGAAAAGTAGGGAAACTAGTTTTGTAGAACAAGAAAAGGATTTCGGATATATACATCTAGTCGAACTAAAACGAAAAAAAGAGCGTAGAGAAAAGATCATAGAAACTTATGTAACATCCTAATTTCCAGGAAGGAAAGCGCTAGGGGTAATTAGGAATCTTGCACCGTTCAGGCATCATCTATGTACAAAGTTGTCAGTCGTCAAATTTTAGGCTGCCAGTGGAACGTGACAGCACGCAAACTGATTGTTAACCACTTAGCGAGGTTAAATAAGTGGAGAACATAAAGAGACAGTTTTTAAATTTTATAAAGTAAAGATAGCTTAGTAGTGGCTTTTAATGTGACTGCATTAATGTAGTGAAGTCGGTGCCTGCTTGTTGAATATCTAACAACAAACACATTGATTTTTTTCTCTTTCCTCGCATTTCAAAGACTAAAACCTCTTTCAGCTGGGAAGAAGCACGAGAGACGTATCACGATATGGGAATGACTTATGTAGAGATTGTCGTCGATGCCCAAGCCAAGCTGCGCATTTCTGACACCTCACAAGTAGGCAAATACTTCCTTTAGTCGAACATTGAGCGAACAGCGATTAAAGTAAAAGATGGTTTTATTTCAGTTGAAATTCGGTGCTCGCATGCGTTTCCGACACACCAAGAAGAGAGGTTTTGAGCCAGTTGGAACTCCAACACTTTTTTGGGCAAATCACAAATGTTTCGCGAAAAACATAGAACAGTACTGCGAAATGTGTTATCACAATAGGCTCTTGTCAAAATAGACTACTTGCTGAAAAAGAGGAAATTATCTACAAAAGTAATTTTATTGGAGCATTCAGCTGCTGAGCGCGATATGTTCACCAACATGTTGATGACGATGATCCACCTAAGTCGTGGACTTTCACTAAAACTTCTCAATGCCCTACTGCAAAGTCTGTTTTATTAGAATGTTTTGTTTCCATTTTCCATATACTGTATTTTCCTCAATTAGCCACCCTATGTACGGGTCACCTATACCTAACACGAGAAACTTGTTTGAAAATATTCTCAGTGCAACTTTCTTGCTATTGGGGTATTCACCTTGCATTACTTAGCACAGAGTTTTCTTTAAAAATCAGATATTCTTCGAAAATATTAGTGTCTATTGAGTTTTACGATAATTATGAGTTAGCTATCTTCATCATAAAGTATGAAGAGATGGTAGAAGGTGGTTGTGTTGATCAAACATAACATATCAAACACGCCTTTGATGACTAGATTTGCACGATTATAAAGACTTTATAGTACATCCACATAA